CAAGTCACCCAAAAGACCAAAATTTGTGAAACTAGGGGCCCAAATCTTTAATAGCAAGGAGAAAAAGTGTTGTGCTCAGACACACCCCTGGGGGACCCTTCAGCTTGGTAAATCCGGGGGAGAGCACATTATTAACCCAAACCCGGGAAATCCCTGTCTTTTAAAAATTTCTTAAAAAAGGATGGTAGATTGCCTCAAAGGCCTAAGGAGTGGGCTTGGGCTAAAATTTTATCCCTAAAGTTGTGTCATATGCCTTCTAAAAGGTCAAAAAAAAATGGAAATAACTGATGGTTATTCGCAAAGGCATTACAAACTAGTACCCAACGAAAAGTAAGGGGTCTAGGGTAGAACGTCCCTTAGAAAGCCATTTGACGAGTGGAGAGACTGTTTGTGTCTCTAAAACCACACAAAAGTCTATTTACTAGGTGTTCCATTACTTTGAAAAACTGCACGGGAAAAAGACAAGGGACATGTGGGGAGGTTTCATGCCCCGTAGTCCCCTGGTTTTGCGGAAAGGGAACAATGGCGGATTTCCACAGCTGTGGAAAAGAATCCTTGGCCCAAATAAGTTGAAGGGGTTAATAGGCTGCAAGGGCTGATGATGTAAATGTTTAGATACGAATAGAATGTCGTCGGGCCAGCGCCGATGACGACAAGCTGAGAGTGTTGCCCCATTCTTGAAGTTAAAAGGCACATTTACTTTTTCCCCCTTGGAGAAGAAAAGTCCAAGGGTGCTAACTCTCTGGCAGATTTTTGGGGAAAAAAATGAGGGGCAAATGGAGTCCCTGAGAAATAGGACCAGATGATTCCCAAATTTTCATTGGCAACATTATGGGTTTGCTATATAAAACACTGGCAACCCGCGAACGGGGCCCGGGTCAGGAGAATATCTCCCACTCATTTTTTTGTATTTTTTCCAGACTGCATCATGAGGAACAGAGGTGTGGTGGAGACTAATCTCCCAGCAAGTGGTTTACGTCAGGGTGACACAGCCGGCGTCGCACGCTTCTGTTTAAATCAAGGATCTCTCTGTGGTTTTTTTGTTTCCGGGACCTGCCCCCTGCAGGCGTTTTAAACGTACTGCCAAGCACAAGCAGGGACCACCAAAGGGACCATTTTTGGAATGCCCCCCCGAATTTGGGGGGTTAAAAGAAATGCGGGAAAACGGGGGACGAGAAGAGGTGGGTAAAAAAATCTCGATGGGGACGAAGAAAGGGAAACCCCTTTAAAAAAATAGGTGTGATAAAAAGGTTCCAAAATTTTCCCGATTAAATTGCCAGCATGGGTGGGGAAGAGGGGGCGAAAAAGAAGGGGTAAGAATGATTGGGAAATGTCACTGTCAGTAATCCGGGAGAACGACCAAGTGAAGTCTAATGCGGGGGAGGAGGCCCGATGAGAGACGATGCAAAAGGATATGATGAGATCAAAAAGGGTGAGATATACCTGTATTTTAAAAAAAGGAGGGGGGGGGTGGTAAGAAAAGCCTCTAACTGAATTCCCCCGGGGAATCACAGTGAGACCTCCCCCGAGGAAAAGATGGGCATTAAAAATCACCAAGTAACAGAATCATGGCGGGAATGACGAAAAAAGGAAGGCAAAATCCGGGGAAAAATAAGCCCAGGGAAAAGAAAATATAAAAAAGACGTTTACCCCCTAGTAAGTGGTACGGGGCTGCGTGTAAGCACGAAATATGAACAAATAGCTGATGTACGGATATCGGCAAAGAAGGGGACTTTCTTAAAGGTCCCATCAGGAAAAGGGTCTGAAGAATCAATAAATTATAGCCCGAGATGGGGAAATAACAGGAAATGTAATTTTGGTTCCTGTAAGCAAAAAACCAACAGGGCAAACTGGGAGTTAACTTGAAACCACCCCCATTACCCCCGAGGCCACGTAATTTCCACTGTAAATAGGCCATGATGGGAATGAAAAGTACTTGAAATCCGAGGTAAGGGTTCCTCGGATAGAGGGGTTAGAAAAAATCCACATGCGGAGGCAGTGGAAAACGTTTCAAGCAGCGAAGGAAAAGGTGCGCTGTGAAGAAAGGAGGTTTTTGCAATGGAGCAGAGGAGGAGAGAGGCGGAAGGTGGTCGGTCCATTGATGGTTTTTGGGCTCTGCAATATATTCAGAGTTGCTTCAATTTTTTCGGGGTTTTAGAGACGTCGTAGGGGACAATATTGGAAAGGGAGGGGGAGGATGAGTAAAGATTGGGAACTGTTTGGAACCTACCCAAGGTTAGGGGGGGGAAAGGGTGGAGGGAAAAGGAAAAAAACGTGCAGGGGACAAAGGGCAGGGAACCCGGGAGGTGGCAGAAAAGGAAAAAACTTGGGGGGGAACAGGGGGGAAGGGACTACGGGGGGAAGGGGGGGGAAAATCTCACCTGTAAATGAGCCCGTGAGGGGGGAGAAAAAGGGACAGAGACAGGGAGGGTAAAAAAGAGGAGGTGGAAGATGGGTAGGAGGTGTTAACGGACCTTTTTTTTTATTTTGAGAAGTAAGGGCGATTGGGAGGGGTGTCGTACGAGGTCTGTCGATCTGAGGCTTGTGAAAGAACCGAAGAAGCGGTTAGACTGAGGCATTGAAGTAGGGGCGTCGACCCGAGGACAGCAAAAGGATTAGATACAGGATGACTATGGGGAGGTAACCACAAGGTGGGTGTAGAAGGGGATACCAGAAGGGGGGGACGTTTTGAAACACGGGGAAAAAAAAACCGTGGGAGTTTCCCCCTTTGGGGGCGGAGTGAAAACTGCCTGGGAAAAGGGGGCCCTTGGGCTTTTGAGGTAAAGGATTTCCCGCTCGTTTTAAAAAACTTTACAACGGCAGATACGAAGGGTGAGCCTCCCGACTTAAGGCAAGAGGGGGATCGATTGCAAGCGTATTGAATGGTCACGGCACCACAGACGGGGGATTCGGGGGATAGATCTGCAATATTTCGCTGGATGGCCAAATCGCCGCAATTTCTACACTGTCGTGGTGTAGGGAACCTTTTGAACTTGTAACCCATGTCCTGCTATATAAATGAGGTGGGAGTTCTCGGTTTGTCAAAATTTTAAAAAGGGAGCCCCTTTTGTTTGGGGAAAACCCTTTCCCCGCCCCCCCGGGCGGGAAAAGAACGAATTGTTCCCCTTGGGGTTTGGGGAGATTTTGGGTTTTTCCCCAGTTGTTCAAGAAGGGTCAGTGCCCCCTTGTCGGGAAATTTTTTTTTGAACTTATGGAAAGGGGTAGAAGGAGGGCCCCCAAACCTACAAGAATTGGGGGAAAAAGGTTTTTCAAGAGTAAAAGGAACAGTAGCGATATGGGAAAGACGAGAGAGCTCATGAGCCTGGGTAGCATTCTGTACAGTAATGATGCGCGTACCGCTCTTAAGAGCATGAAAAGAAATATCTTTACCAACATGGCGTAGGAGTGCCTTGCCAATACTGTGGTCAGAAAGATAGGCAGTAGAGGAAGTCGGTCGTAAAGTGAAGAATTTAGTCCATTGTTCAGTCTGAAACTGAGCGTGGAAAGGTAGTGAAGGACGTGTCGATCGTTTCTGAGAAGAACGAGAAGGTGGAGAAGTATCATCAGCAGGTAATTGTCGTTGGCGTTTAGGCGTGGGACCAGAGTTGGTCCGACGTGGAATGGGTCGGCGATTTGAAAATTGCCGCACCGTAGAGGGAGAGGCAGGAAGCATAGTCAGAGGAGAGCGAAGGTCCGATAAATCGAAGGAGTCAGTCGAGGCCTCAGTACCTGAAGCGGGTGAGGAAACAGCACCAGCAATAGGTACAGAGGCATGAGTGTCTGAAGAGTGGTCCAAAGACAAGGCGGGGTCAGAACGGGGTACGGTATCAAGAAGGGGCCCGGGGGTAGTAGGTTCATGGACTAGGGCTGCCATGGTTAGGTTACTTCTTTCTTTTTGTTTTTAAGAAAAAAAAAGAAAAGAAAATAAAAATAAAAAAAAGAATAAAAAAAGGGGGAACCGGGGAGGGATAGTTCCTAGGAGGAATGAAAGGGCCAGAAATCTCCCTCGCGCCCAAGAGGACCTCAGCACCGCAAGTAGCGCAGATGCAGCATGGAACCCGTGCCATACCCTACCCATCATGCTAGTAAACTAACAATCCGGGATAGCAACCTCACATCTGCTGAGCTACCTCGGTGGACAAAAGAGAGGGCGGCCGGATATCCGCCACAAAGCATACCTCCTTTGGCCACCACCCCCGGAATCTGAAAGGTGGCTTCCAGAGATACACCCGTCGCCCGAAAGACACCCAAAGCTACTCCGGGATACTGGAGAGGGATCGGGACATCCCCAGGCGATCCAGATTCCACGGCAAACTACGCCACCGCCAAGAACCTCAACAGAATGGGATAGACCCCGGTATCCTTTCCCCTACCTAGGAACTAGTGCGCCTGTGGGAGAAATCCCAAAGGCCAAAAAGAGGAAGGGCAAAAGGGAGGGGTGGGGAGGAAGAGGAGGAAAGGAAAAAGGGGAGGATGGGATAGGGGAGGGGAGATTGGGGGGTAATTAGGTTCGGTCTGAGGAAGACCGACAGGTCTAATTTCTCAGACCAAGAGCCTCTTCACCACGCCAAGGAGCCCCCCTTGAAGAGGCCTTCAGCTTGGAGTAAGTCTGAGGAAAGCATATTATTAACCAGAACATGGAATTCTCTCTCAGATAATAAGTACTTAGGGAAAAATGGCAGATTGCCTTGGTTATTCAGAATGTCTAAAAAACCAAGTGTAAACAAAGATATTAACAAACGATAAAATATATACACGCATGAGTAAAGGACTCGACACAAAGTATCATACCAAATTAAAATAACCAACATTAATAAAAAACTTTAAATTATTAGTGTCAAAGTTATGAAAGGGAACTTTCAATGTATTGCTATGTATAAAAAACCTTTTACAAAGATAACTGGTTTATTTAATAGCTGATTACCAAAATGTTTAAAATTTTCAGATAAAATGCAACAACGTGTCTATTATAACATACATTGAGGTAAAATAAAACAACATTTGTTCAACTTTTTTTTTACTCTTCAACAGCATTATACAATAATGTGTGTTGCATTAACAGTGGGAAATATACATTAGAAAACAGTACAACTGCCTCCAAAAAGGTTTAATGACTGAGGGATAAACCATGACCCTCTCCCAGTCTGTAAAATAATAATTATGATATCACAGAGGTAAGACTGGCAAGAGTCATGATTGTCCTTTCAAGCTCTCAAGAGGTAAAGTTATGTCTCACTATTAGAAAAGTCACAGGGAGCTGCGTCAATAAATTATACTGAGCAAACTTTATGTGTGCACGTGATGTGTATTATTTAATAAATTATGTCTGCAACAGTACACCAATATGCTACCTCCATTTTCAAGGACCTAGCTGACCATAACTCTGCTCACTGGCAATACAAAATTTAGATAAATTACCCTTTAGTTCATGTATCAAGCCATGAAAAAAAGCACTTTATCAAAATCTAACATGGTACGAAGTTTAAAATTCTGGTGGACCAGATTTAGCACAATAAAGAAAACTACACTGGAGTACTGGATGGATCCTGTGTGCATCTGAGGTTTGTACAAGTTGCATCCTCCTTATTGTCCAAGGTTTTAGCAAGTCTTTATATGGTCCAACTTAGTATGATGAAACTGAATGTTCTTGGATTTTTAAATTGGGGTAATGTAAGAACCAAAGACACCTAAAATTTGGAGGGTGTATGAGAAAACGTGTAATTGCCTGTGTTATTCTGTATTACCACAGATGAATACAATACAATCTCCATGGGGAAGTGGAACAGAATTCTTCCTCCGTAAGCCATGCGTGTTGTAAGAGGCAACTAAAATGCCGGGAGCAAGGGGCTAGTAACCTCTTCTCCTGTATATATTACTAAATGTAAAAGGAGAAACTTTCGTTTTTCCTTTTGGGCCACCCCGCCTCGGTGGGATACGGCCGGTGTGTTGAAAGAAGAAGAAAGAATACAATACAAATGATGTAATATCCAAGTCATAATTTTAAATCAATAGTTAATTGGTTTATAACTAAGAATATTTACAGGATACTGGGAAGGTGAAGAATTATAAACTGTGAAGGTTTACAAATCAAAAGACAATTAAGTAATAAAACTGATTGAAGAAAGGTGAAAGTTATTTTGATCAATAATAACACAAGAATTCTCCAGCCCTTACATCTACTATAGACTGTGAAAAATCTCAGATAAACTCTTATTTACATGTGCATTATAATCAATACATTACAATAACATTTGTGAAATAACTATTTGGATCAGATTTAAGTGTACACTGGTGCATTCAATACTTGATAAACCTGAACTAGATGAATACATTTTATTACATGCCTACTCTGAACCCCTTCTGGATAAAATTCTCAATTCATTCCCCTCTTAAAAAATAAAAAAAAGTTTCTATGAATGTTCACGTCTCCACGACTAATGCTGCTTTTAAACTCCCACAAAACCAGTTGGACACGACAGACGGATTCCACTTTCTTTGGTGATTATTTGAAAGTTACGTTGGGTCTCTAGCTTGATAAAAGAGAATATACCCTGTTTCTGAAGACTTCTGAATCTCTGATGTCAAGCCAAAAAATTCTTCCATTACTGATGGGTCAATTTTCTGAGACACAAAAAGAGTAACTAATTAGAAAATTCTTCTTTATGCAGTACTGTATTAAGCATAAAAAAAATTGTGACAATTATTTCTTATGACTTAACAGAAATGCAGAATGTTACAAAATAATCTTACAAAAAGATCAAGAAATGTACTTCAGATGCTTAAAATAGTTTACATTCTTAATAAAGGTGTGGATGAGATCTGCAAAAAAGGATTCAACACACTGAAAAATGACAGTGCCAGAAGACTGGAATAAAAAGAACCTATGATTATACAAGACCACGGTACTGTATACAAGTAAAGGGGAATGTTGTGCATGTAATCTTTATTCTACATTTTTTTTTTTTCCAACAAGTCGGCCGTCTCCCACCGAGGCAGGGTGACCCAAAAAAAAAAAGAAAGAAAATCCCCCCCAAAAAAATACTTTCATCATCATTCAACACTTTCACCACACTCGCACATTATCACTGTTTTTGCAGAGGTGCTCAGAATACAACAGTTTAGAAGCATACACATATAAAGATACACAACATATCCCTCCAAACTGCCAATATCCCAAACCCCTCCTTTAAAGTGCAGGCATTGTACTTCCCATTTCCAGGACTCAAGTCCGACTATATGAAAATAACCGGTTTCCCTGAATCCCTTCACTAAATATTACCCTGCTCACACTCCAACAGATCGTCAGGTCCCAAGTATCATTCGTCTCCGTTCATTCCTATCTAACACGCTCACGCACGCTTGCTGGAAGTCCAAGCCCCTCGCCCACAAAACCACCTTTACCCCCTCTCTCCAACCCTTTCGAGGACGACCCCTACCCCGCCTTCCTTCCCCTATAGATTTAATGCTTTTCCCTGTCTTCTCTTTTATCCATTTCTCTAAATGACCAAACCCCTCAACAACCCCTCTTCTGCCCTCTGACTAATACTTTTATAAACCCCCACCTTTTCCTAATTTCCACACTCCGAATTTTTGAAATATTTTTCACCACACTTGCCCCTTAACGGACATCTCCCTGCCCCCCAACCATCTCCTCGCTGTGTTTTTTACCACCCAAGTTCACACCCCAAAAAGAGTGTTGGTTTTCTATACTTTCATAATTCCCCTTTTTTGCCTCCATAGATAACATTTTTTACTCCACATATTCCTCAAGCACCACCACCTTTTTTTCCCTAACAATTCTATGTTTAAACCCTCACCCTTTCATAAACCCCTCCCCTAAACCGTCAATCCCAAGTATTGAAAACATTCACTTTTCCATATCCTCCTCCCCAATTTGATACCCAATTTTTCTTTATTAAATCTTTGACACCCTCATCCCTTTACTCTTTCTATGTTCACTTTCAACTTTCTACCTTTACACCCCTTCCCAAACTCATCCATAACCTTTGCAATTTTTTTTACAACTCCCATAAGCACAGTATACAGCAAAAAGTTACTGTTCAATTCCATTTTTAATTTGATTCCCCCAAAAATTTTTCCCACCCCTCTCCGAAAACCCTAGCATTTACTTCCCTTTTCAACCCCATCATAAATATATTAAAAACCTGGTGCATTACAATCCCTGTCTAAGACCTACTTTTACCGGGGAAATATCTCCCTCTCTTTACCACCCCAACCTGGCCTCACTATCTTCATAAAAAAATCTTTACAGCATTTAAAAATTACCACCTATTCCATATACTTTCAAAATTGCCCCATTTCCCTCTATCCACTTTCATATGCCTTTTTTAAATCCATAAAAAGCAATACAAACTTCCCTACCTTTATCTAAATATGTTACATATATGCCCCTTTAATGTAAAAAATTGATTTCCCCATCCCCACCCCCTCTGAAAAACCCCCTTGCTCATCCGCCCCAAACCCACTTCGTTTTCCCCTAATTCTTTTAATTTAAAACCTTCCCCTACACTTTTCCTGGGATACCAGTAAGCTTTTTCCTCTATAATTTTACATCTCTTTTGTCCCTTTCCCTTTTATATAAGGGGGGTAACATGCCTCCGCCAAAACCCTAGGGGACCTCCCCCTTTTCATACATTTATTAAAAAAAAAATACCAACTCCAAAACTTAAAACCCCCCTGCTTTTACTTTCTGTCATGATCCCATCAGTTCCAGCTGCTTTACCCCCTTTCATTTTACGTAATGCCTCACGTACCTCCCCCACACTTACATTCTGCTCTTCTTCACTCCTAAAAGATGGTATACCTCCCTGACCAGTGCATGAAATTACTGCCTCTGTTTCTTCCTTAACATTTAAAAGTTCCTCAAAATATTCTCACCATCTACCTATTACCTCCCTCTCCCCATCTACTAACTCCCCTACTCTGTTTTTAACTGACAAATCCATATTTTCCCTAGGCTTTCTTAACTTGTTTAACTCACTCCAAAATTTTTTCTTCTTTTCATCAAAATTTCTTGACAGTGCCTCTCCCACTCTATCATCTGCTCTCCTTTTGCACTCTCTCACCACTCTCTTTACCTTTCTTTTACTCTCCATATACTCTGCTCTTCTTATAACACTTCTGCTTTGTAAAAACCTCTCGTAAGCTACCTTTTTCTCTTTTATCACACCCTTTACTTCATCATTCCACCAATCACTCCTCTTTCCTCCTGCCCCCACCCTTCTATAACCACAAACTTCTGCCCCACATTCTAATACTGCATTTTTAAAACTTTTCCCAATCCTCTTCAACCCCCCCACTACTCATCTTTGCACTAGCCCACCTTTCTGCCAATAGTCGCTTATATCTCACCCGAACTTCCTCCTCCCTTTGTTTATACACTTTCACCTCCCTCTTACTTGTTGTTGCCACCTTCCTCTTTTCCCATCTACCTCTTACTCTAACTGTAGCTACAACTAAATAATGATCCGATATATCAGTTGCCCCTCTATAAACATGTACATCCTGGAGCCTACCCATCAACCTTTTATCCACCAATACATAATCTAATAAACTACTTTCATTACGTGCTACATCATACTTGTATATTTATTTATCCTCTTTTTCATAAAATATGTATTACTTATTACCAAATTTCTTTCTACACATAGCTCAATTAAAGGCTCCCCATTTACATTTACCCCTGGCACCCCAAATTTACCTACTACTCCCTCCATAACATTTTTACCCACTTTAGCATTGAAATCCCCAACCACCATTACTCTCACACTTGATTCAAAACTCCCCACGCATTCACTCAACATTTCCCAAAATCTCTCTCTCTCCTCTACACTTCTCTCTTCTCCAGGTGCATACACGCTTATTATAACCCACTTTTCACATCCAATCTTTATTTTACTCCACATAATCCTTGAATTAATACATTTATAGTCCCTCTTTTCCTGCCATAGCTTATCCTTCAACATTATTGCTACTCCTTCTTTAGCTCTAACTCTATTTGAAACCCCTGACCTAATCCCATTTATTCCTCTCCACTGAAACTCTCCCACCCCATTCAGCTTTGTTTCACTTAAAGCCAGGACATCCAGCTTCTTCTCATTCATAACATCCACAATCATCTCTTTCTTATCATCTGCACAACATCCACGCACATTCAGACTTCCCACTTTGACAATTTTCTTCTTCTTATTCTTTTTAGTAATCTTTACAGGAAAAGGGGTTACTAGCCCATTGTTCCCGGCATTTTAGTTGACTTTTACAACACGCATGGCTTACGGAGGAAAGATTCTTATTCCACTTCCCCATGGATATAAAAGGAAAATTAATAAGACCAAGAACTATTAAGATAAAATCAAAGAAAACTCAGATGAGTGTGTATAAATAAATGTGTACATGTATGTGTAGTGTGACCTAAGTGTAAGTAGAAGTAGCAAGACGTACCTGTAATCTTGCATATTTATGAGACAGACAAAAGACATCAGCAATCCTACCATCATGTAAAACAATCACAGGCTTTCGTTTTACACTCACTTGGCAGGACGGTAGTACCTCCCTGGGTGGTTGCTGTCTACCAACCTACATTTTATAAGAACATAAGAAAGAAGGAACACTGCAACAGGCCTACTGACCCATGCGAAGCCGGTCCATTCCACCCCCCTGGCCTATAACAATGACCACCTAGTCAGGTCACTTCCACTTAAGGAAGCAGCACAGCACCAGACCTGGTAGCCCAAGCTATTCAGATCTAACTCTCACCCACCCACACCCACTCATGTATTTATCCAACCTATTTTTAAAACTACACTATGTCTTAACGTTGGTGCATAGCAACAAACTTTTCTGTACTGAGAAAAGTGCTGGGGATTAATGAGGCAGATTTTATGTAAGAAGTAATGTGCATAAGGTACTTTCATTTAAAATGTAACTAAAAAGATAGATATCCATCAGGTTTATGGAACTGTAGAATGCATGATAAAGTGATTTAAGAAACTTTTGGGTTTTGAGTTTGCATGCAGATAAACAGTTGTTAAATAATGTATGAAATTTTCTAAAGGAAGTAGAGTATCACACAATAATAGTGTACAAAGTTTCATGTAGGCTCAGGAGTATGCAAAAGTTTGTCCCAAAATTCATAAAATATTTATATTGTCAGTAATGAAGAAAAGGTGCAGACAGAAAAAAAGCATTAGTAATTTGTAAAATTTATTTATTCCCGTGTGAAAATTTAAAGGTGGTGATTAAAGTTTAAATCTAGATTTCAAGGCATCCTTAGAAATGGTTCTAGTTCATCCAGCAAAGCATGTAAACTACGTAACTTACCTGTGACACAACTGAAATTTCTGTTGGTACAGCCCAACATTAAGTTTTGAGATTTTATGTGGTGTTAGAATCAGTGTGGTAATACATATTAAGAAATCAACTAAACGAGCTATCAAGACAAGATTTTCAAGTTAGGAAGCACAATGTGAAGACTGAAAGTGGGGTAAAGATGTATTTTCATTAGCCAACACTGGGAAGAGTGCTGAATATGACTGCAGCTAAACAAATTAACGATAATGGAGAGAGAGATTTAATTTTTTTTAACACATCGACCGTTTCCCACCGAAGCAGGGTAACCCAAAAAAAGAAACACCTTCACCATCATTCAACACTACTGTATATTTGGGTGGATAGAAAAGTGTTAGGTTCTGCTAATTAGTTTAAATATTTAAATATTTATATGGGTGTGAAGCTTGGGTTATGAATGCAGCAGCAAGGAGGCGGTTGGAGACAGTGGAGATGTCCTGTCTAAGGGCAATGTGTGGTGTAAATATTATGCAGAAAATTCGGAGTGTGGAAATTAGGAGAAGGTGTGGAGTTAATAAAAGTATTAGAAAGAGGGCTGAAGAGGGGTTGTTGAGGTGGTTTGGTCATTTAGAGAGAATGGATCAAAGTAGAATGATATGGAGTGTATAAATCTGTAGGGAAAGGAAGGCGGGGTAGGGGTCGTCCTCAAAAATGTTGGAGGGAGGGGGTAAAGGAGGTTTTGTGGGAAAGGGGCTTTGGACTTCCAGCAAGCGTGCGTGAGCGTGTTAGATAGGAGTGAATGGAGACGAATGGTATTTAGGACCTGACGATCTGTTGGAGTGTGAGCAGGGTAATATTTAGTGAAAGGATTCATGGAAACCGGTTATTTTTATATAGCCGGACTTGAGTCCTGGAAATGGGAAGTACAATGCCTGCACTCTAAAGGAAGGGTTCGGGATATTGGCAGTTTGGAGGGATATGTTGTGTATCTTTATAGGTATATGCTTCTAAGTTGTTGTATTCTGAGCACCTCTGCAAAAACAGTGATTATCTGTGAGTGAGGTGACAGTGTTGAATGATGATGAAAGTATTTTCTTTTTGGGGATTTTCTTTCTTTTTTGGGTCACCCTGCCTCGGTGGGAGACGGCCGACTTGTTGAAAAAAAAAAAAAAAATTGTAATGTATTATTGGCAAAGGGAAATTTGAATAATTAAAGCTTAAAAATTGGCTGTTGAAATGAAAGCCCTATTTAACAAGAAAAGATAGGAAGGTAACATATTTACATAAACATGTTAAAACTATAAAAAAGTATCAGAGAGGAATACCAAATTTATTTGTCATGTCCAAATACTCACATCAACAGCATCATCATCGAAGAGTAGCCAGAATCTGTGTGACTTGACAATTGCTATGTAGTGGCCTCTGTTGATACCTGTGCCACAGTGAACCACCACAGCTGCTAGGTCATACAAACGGTCAGGGTTCACAGCATCTAAACTCTGGAATTAAAAATGTGTAATGTATAGTAGGCATCCTAAATATGCAAGCACAAACTCATCACATAGGTAATAAAATATTACTTTAAAAGTAAAATACCGACATATATACGTATTCATCACTTGGCCAACCTAGTCAAGTGTAGCATTACCCTTCCTCTTGATGCACTCCTTAATGTCGCCTAGGCACTGATAAGCCCAAAGAATGGAGGATATTAGTCAGGACCCTCCCATACCTGGTTCATAGCACTTGAGAATTTGGGGATAGTTCATGCCACACATCTTACACTTAATAAGGTTCCAAATGTTTTCTCCATCGGAATTAAACTTCGTGACTTACCAGGTCAGTCATTAAAGACTGAAACTTGACAATCATTTAGCCAATCTTCTAAGTCATTGGCAGTTGCCCTGGCACTTCTCAAAACTGTCATGCAAATATAATGTAGTCCGCTAAAGGCGTACTAATGAGTGTACGCTGTATAGTGTTCAGAAATCTAAGATGGCCAAGTTTAAAGCATTTTATATCTTAAAGGAGAGAGAAAGACACAATTTTCTATATAAAGCTAAACTACCTTGACAAGTTCTAAACATTTATTACAGAGAACTTATTGTAATGAACAGTGTAGAAATTAGATGACAATGTAGGGTTACCAAAGGAATAATTCAGAAGGCTGAGGAGGGGTTAAGGTGGTTTGGGTAGGTGGAGAGGACAGAGAATAGGATGACCAAGAAAATATAATTTTGGGGTGAACAGAAGAGGTAGGGGTTATCCCAGGAAGAGTTAGAGGGAGGGTGATAAAGGAGGTTTTGAGTGTTAGGGGCTCAAACATGCAACAGGCTTGTGAGTGTTAGACTGGAGTGAATGAAGAATGGTAGTTATACCTTGGCATGCTGTTGGTATGAGAGAATGGAAACACTTATGAAAGATTCAGGAAAGCCAGTTAACTGGACTTTGCATCCTGGAGGTGGGAAGTATAGTGCCTGTATTCTGGAGGAGGGGTGGGGATGTTGCAGTTCAGAGGGTCATTTGAATTGTGATGTCTGCACATTTTCCAAACAAAACATACTTGAGAAAGGTTGGCAAACAAGTTTTTTTTTCGGGGTCACCCTGCCTCTGGGGGAGAGGGCCGTGTATTAATAATACTAATAAAAAAAAATGCACCATTTCTCTCTTAAACAAAATACTTTTATTTTTACATATACGGGGGAACCCCCTTTAAAAACGATATTTTTTCACTTCAGAAGTATTTTTCAGGTCCATACTGCCGAATTTGTTCCCATAAGAATTTTGTGAAGTAGATTATCCATTTCCCAGCCCCCCCAACATACACTTAAAAACGCATTTACATAAATACCTACATAATCGGTCGCTTTTCGGAGGTGACTTTATGCGGGGTCCACTGTATAACTAATATTTGTTAAACTTTTGCATTCATGGGGTAGCTTTAAACCTTTGAAAGGGGACACTGCCCAACCCTTAATTAACCAAGTGCCTGTTTAAAATTTGGCAATTAAACAATAACTATCTTCCAAAGTCTTGAAGATTTCTAGAAGATGTATTACAAATCAGCAACATTACCATAAATGCAAATGCTACAGAACAAAATAAAAAAAAAATACGGTAGAGTATCACTTACTGTCCCCAAGACCGCAGTTCAAAGGAAAAAAAACCCTGGTGATAATTTTAGTGTGCGGTTAACACCCAAAAACTGAAATCTTTTAAGGGGGAGGCATATAGTTTTGGGAGCTTCTTAACCCTTGTACGTTTCTGAAAAAAAAAAAAAAAAAAATTATATTTAAATGGAATTGATATCAGTTTTTCTGCGGCATTCATGGTTTTAAGAGGACACTTTTGTCTCCTATGAACTGTTGATAATAAAACTTAAGGGCTTTAAAATACAAAATTTAAGAGTCCCAAAATGACGCCGATTATGCAGAGGCTTACTCCTTAATTATACCACTCACTAGTGTTCTGGTCCTGGGCACTGGCAGGTGCATATTCATCATCAATTACACCTGTCATTAAAACTGGTACCCACAAGGAATGCACCATTACAACATAACCACAAACATAGAATACTGGTTAATAAACACAGGCGAGTTTCCTTAAGACACACTTGTTAATATAAATGTACAGTTGTAAAAGCCCTAAAATATCAAAAACATGATATCTATTTATACATTATCTAAACCTATAAAGATGATTCAGTGCAAGGAGCAGTGGATTTTGACCTTATTTAGCTGTGGACTGGTCTCAGGCCACTCATGCTACTGGTGTTTGCTTAGCTGCACTATGTAAAGGAGGGTCATTGAGCTAAAACACTATTGTACTGTGGCTGATTGTGGCTTAACAATAAAAACAATCTCATGCTGGTTGGGTGTTCACACAAGCAAAGAACTTTACTTGTGCTGAGAAATGTGTGCATGTGGAAGTTATGAAAGATGTGAATACAGCATTCATGATAAACATTCACATCATATTTATGTGGAAGTACTCAACTCATAGGTGGTCATACAACACTTAAGCAAAATAGAAGGCAATTGGGACTGATTTAAGCAAGGGGTGGACAATACACACGTAACCCACATTTAGACGATAAACTTACAACAACTTTTCAGTCTGACTTGGACCATTACGACTTTAACCAAACAAACATGCAAGTAATTCATTACCACTAACTTGTTGAGCTACGAAAACTTTGCAGCCCAGTCCCTGGATCTATTATGTGCCTTTCATCTTTTGACTACCACCCACAGCATGGGTATGGGGTGCATAATAAAGATATTAAACCAAAAACTTGGACCATTAACTAGTCACTAACCCAAGTCGGACTAAAACTTCTAAGTTTCAGTATCCTACATGTGGTTATCTGTTTACTGTTCCAGTCACGGTATTATGTTTTTTTTTTTTATTCTTTAAGGATTAGACAAATCCAATTGTTTAGAGCAATAGCCCTTCACTAACATCAAGAAACCACATTTAAGCAGAAATACTGTTAAGTGGAATAGATAGTAGACTAAAAAAAAAAAAAAAATATGGAGGTGGGTATAGCTTCAGAGAAGAGTTACTTCTGTACAACAAAATCTTGCAATGCTTAGGCCTAGCATTAAATATTTAGTATAGCTGCACTATAAACCAATAAAACATAATTCCAACATGAGAATTTTCAATGTCTTGCAAATCACATCTGTCGCATTTAGCAAATGTACATCACACATGCTTTAACCCTTTGAGGGTCCAGATGCCTGATCTGAAACTTGTCCACAGGGTCTTAAAAAAAAATAAGTTATTTTTCCTTAGGAAATGGAAGAGAACCTTTTTCTGAAGGTAATAAAACAAAAAGTACAAAATTTGAAGGAAAACTGATGAAATTACGTTCTCAGGAATTTTGCTGCTTCAGCAATATTTGTGCATCGGCAATTATGCCCAATTTGACTCTCATTTTAGGCCAATTACATTATTCCAGTTGACCAAATTCTTAGTTATTTCACTAGTATTACTTCCATTTTATCGACCGAGCACAAGAAATCACCCAATCAACTATTTCAACTACCCAACAAAGTTATAGGATATCAGTAATTTGGCCAATTTCACACAAAGTTCAAAATATACCAATTTCAAAATAAGGTCCAGAATAAACAATACAGGCATTCCTGGTACTAAAATAACATTTCCTCTGTTTATTATTTAAGTTTCCAGGCTTAACAAATGAATTCCACTTTAATTTTTTATTCACATAATGAATTTTTATTCACACCATAAAACAGAAGATTTACCATTATGCAATATTGTAATAATTGTATAACTAATATCTGTGTATTTGTTAACAAACATAAGACCCACCAGCTGATGTGTATTGGACATGTGATATGATCGGTTTACCCTTAAACACTGACAAAAATTAAACATTGCCAATACTTTGAGCTCAGTTTCAAGCCATTTTCAGTACTAAAACCAATCACAATCATCTCTATTTCTGTAGTATATCTTTAATTCTATCAAATGAGACCAAGAAACCACAAATACAACTGTAAAAAACATACGAAAATACACTGCAAAGTTGCCGTTTTAATCCAAAAACATGGTTTCAGTTTTTTCTCATTATGCACTGCATGCTGCAGGATTTGTTTTATGTGGTGCACATTTACCGCATAGATGCATTCTCTCATATCTAGGCCCAAATATACCACTCACAGCTTATCTGAGTGAGCTGAGCTCATGGCGTAGAACTACGGCTTGGACCCAGGCTTCAAAGCTGTAGAACTACGGGACGGACCCTTGAAGGGTTAAAAATCATATTGAAATAGGACAGTAAAATAAGGGATTTGCATAAACCAAATCAGTGTCGAGTAAGAGGGAACCTATAATACTACACACTTTAACACTACAACATTTCTTTCTTGTTTAGTTATTGAACTACTGACAATACACACAGGTTGATTATACTTCTAGGTGTCCCACTGTGCTACTCTTGGAAGGTATAGTATTGTACTATAACAGTAAAAAAGTTCATTCTGCAGTGAAACCACATCACATTGATAATCTGAGCATACAACTGTAGAATAATCCACATTTTACATATTCATATATAACCATGTGACTGATACTCCCTTAAAATAAGTATGGCTTGATTAATCGGTCTGGTGCCACATTGGGAAAGAACTAAGTTTTTTAGGTAAAGGAACTCTGTACTCGCATACATGTCTCTAGGAAGGACCTGCCATATTTCTGCTCTTTCAACATTTTCTTTTTTTTCCAACAAGTCGGCCGTCTCCCACCGAGGCAGGGTGACCCAAAAAAGAAAGAAAATCCCCAAAAAGAAAATACTTTCATCATCATTCAACACTTTCACCACACTCGCACATTATCACCGTTTTTGCAGAGGTGCTCAGAATACAACAGTTTAGAAGCATACACATAAAGATACACAACATATCCCTCCAAACTGCCAATATCCCAAACCCCTCCTTTAAAGTGCAGGCAACATTGTACTTCCCATTTTCAGGACTCAAGTCCGACTATATGAAAATAACCGGTTCCCCTGAATCCCTTCACTAAATATTACCCTGCTCACACTCCAACAGATCGTCAGGTCCCAAGTACCATTCGTCTCCATTCACTCCTATCTAACACGCTCACGCACGCTTCCAGATAATAAGGGTTTTGTTTTTTTAACATACTGGCTGTCTTCCACCAAGGCAGGGTGACCCAAAAAAACAAACACTTTCACCATCATTCACAACATCACTGTCTTGCCAGAGACATGCAGATCCAAACAATTCAGATGATCCTCCAAAGAGCAACTATCCCCAGCCCTCCTTTAGAATGCAGGCACTGTACTTCCTACCTCCACGACTCAAGTTCCGCTAACCAATTTCCCTGAATCCCTTCACAAATGTTACACTGCTCATACTCCAACAGCTTGTCAAGTCCCAAAGAGATGTATGTATATACATCAGCACTATCACTTTCCCTGTCATTTGGTAAAATATAATATAACAAATGTTCTTTACCTACAAAGTATCATGATTTATTTGACAAACATCTTGCGGCACATCTCAAATGGTCCAGACCTGCTTCAGTTAGTTTTACGCATTTTATTTATACTACATACCAGCTGCAAAACAATGTGGTGTAAATAATACAACAAAAATAATATGCATTACCTGGTGTTCCTGAAGGGAGCAGCAATTCTCACACTGCACTTTGTTCTCTGCACTAATGGTCTCAGTGGAGAAAAAACACCGCAAACAATATGTGATGCTTGTATTCTGATGTACCTCCACTGACAGGTTGTTTAATACTTCATCTGTGCTCCGCACCTGCAACATTTTTTTTTTAAATCTTATGAATCATTTGTGATACAGTACTGCACTTGCAATCCTAATAAAATTTAGTCGTAAAATTATTAAATTTCTGCAGCTTAGTAGTAAGTGAATATGCAGAAGTTAGATTCCTTAACATGCACAAGTCTCAGGTATTGTACTCACAGCTTCACAATTAAGACACTTAAGCTCCCTGGTGACGACTGCCTGAAATATCTCATGCACCCATGTATTATCTTGTTGCTGGTTGTTCCCTCCACCTCCCCCACTGTCCTGCTGTCCTCCCAAGCCTGCTTGTTGCTCACTCTCCCCACTCTGTTGTCTACTTCGACCTGCCAGCTGCTTTTCTGCAACAAAAATAAAGGAAATAAGGATTTTTTTTTAAAAATTGGCACATGCATTTCTTATAAGTGTAAGATAAAGCTCAATCGACTCAAATTAATAAATACCTGTAAAACAAATAATTTTTTTTTCCAAACACACTGCCAATCTCCCACAGAGGTAGGGTATCCTTAAAAACACTTTCACCATCATTCACACTATCACTGTCTTGTCAGAGGCATGCAGATATGATAGTTCAGATGTCCTTCCAAACAGCAAATATTCCCACCCTTCCTTTAGAGTCCAGGCATTGTACTTCCCACCTCCACCTCAACAAAGATTCATTTTAAATTTTTTCAACACTGACCATTTGTCACCAAGGCAGGGGTGACCCAAAGGAGGAAACACATTCACCATCATTCATTCAATAGCAGTCTTGCCAGGAATGTGTAGACATCACAATTTATCTTCAGTCCCACCCATCACTGAGTGCAGGTACTGTATATCCCACTTTAAAGTAAGTAAGTAAGTAAGTTTATTCAGGTATACACAAATACAGTTACATAGAATTATCATACATAGCAGCTATCCGCTTTCAATGAATACCTTATTCTGACAATGTCAAAACCCAAAAAACTCATGACAAAATCACAGTTCATGTAAAAATAAAATAATTTAACAAAACAAAGAATCTTAATATTTGCACACTACATGTCTGAGAGAATGGCTTATTCAACAGGGTTTTAATCATGTAGGGTTAACAAATACAGTTCTGTACTTGAAGGGAAACAAAATTCTACAGCTTGCCACTACTTATTTCACCTTCTAAACTAAATTCTCTAGCAAAAGTTCTTGAGAAGGCTCAAGGCTGCAGTATTATTCGTGATTATCACTGAAACATTTTAAGTTGACAGAGATACGTAGAGTAATTTTTTTTTTTTAACAAGTCCGCCATCTCCCACTGAGGCAGGGTGACCCAAAAAGACAGAAATTCCCCAAGAAGAAAATACTTTCATCATCATTCAACACTTTCACCTCACTCACACTAATTCATAATCCTGTAACAAACAGCAGTCAACAAATACAGTTGTGCACAGAAATTTACGACAAAAATGAACAGAAACAAGTTCCAAATTCCCCAAAGCAGCTGGTTTAAAATTTTGGTATATACTATACAGCCTCTCCTCACCTAATGACGGAGTTCCATTCTTAAGACACGTCGTTTAACAAATCTGTCGCTAAGTGAGGAACATACTATAATGGTGGTGGGTTTGTGTCAACCATCTCTGATATTGTTTTAATGTCACCTTTGCACCATTTATAACATTTCTAGTATATTTTTAAATGTTTATACAGTAGTGTACTGTATATTAAAATAAACAGAATAGAGGATATTAGATCTACTATACATTATTTAGGTATAAATACTGGTCAGAGAGCCCTTCGTAAGTCTGAGGCGTTGGTAAACAAGCACGTTCCTAAGTAAGGAGAGGCTGTATTCATTCAAGTGAGAGTTCAAGAATGCCTCAACTGGTGAACTTATACCATTCATTATCAAGAGTAAATAGGTAAGCATTAGAAAACTGTAGTAAAAACTTTTTGTCTTACCTATGATAGTTTCATTGATGCTGTCTATTAACTGAACAAAGAATTCGTGGGCATCTTGCTGCATGTAGTTATCAAACTTAACTGTAAAAGAATTTAAGAAAACAAAAGTATAGTGTGCTGAGAAAATATTTGACAAAAGTAAGAGATTCATTGAAAAATAAATTTTTTGATATATCCTCCAGTTCTTTCTTCTTCCCCTTTTCCTGTATGTATAAAAAAGTGGTTACTAGCCCCTTGCTCCAGGCATTTTAGTCGCCTCTTACAACACACATGGCTTACAGAGGAAGAATTCTGTTCCACCTCCCCATGAATAACCTCTAGTTAGGGAGAACTAAAAAATTAAAAGCTAAATAAATGCAAATTATAAATAAGCTAACTTAACTATTTTTCCAAGTTTTAAAATTATAGAAATAAAAACAAGAAAGAAGGGGAAAGGGAGGTTCTGTGGGCGAGGGGCTTGGATTTCCAGCAGGCGTGCGTGAGCGTGTTCGATAGGAGTAAATGGAGATGAATGGTATTTAGAACTTGACGAGCTGTTGGAGTGTGAGCAGAGTAATATTTAGTGAAGGGATTCAGGAAACCAGGTATTTTTATATAGCCAGACTTGAGTCCTGGAAATGGGAAGTACAATGCCTGCACTCTAAAGGAGGGGTTCGGGATATTGGCGGTTTGGAGGGATATGTTGTGTACCTGTATAGGTATATGCTTCTAAGCTGTTGTGTTCTGAGCACCTCTGCAAAAACAGTGATAATGTGTGAGTGTGGTGAAAGTGTTGAATGATGATGAAAGTATTTTCTTTTTGGGGATTTTCTTTCATTTTGGGTCACCCTGCCTTGGTGGGAGACGGCCGACTTGTTAAAAAAATCTTAATTGGAGCACTGTCTCGCATGTTGGCTAAACAATAAGGAAATGCAGCTTCTCAGCTTTATTTTGGACATGTCAATCTCATTTTATGAAAACTTTTTTTTTTTTGTTAACACAACAGCATTTCCCACTAAGGTATGGCAACTCAAGAAACATTCATAGTCACTTATCCAATAGGTGTCTTGCCAGGAGTACGCAGATATCAAAATTCAAACCAAGAATAAAATGCCACAATACCGTGGCTGGAACAACATATAAAACCCGCACATAGGAGAAAAACTTATGATGTTTCAGTCCAACTCGGACCATTAGCAAGCCAGTGTCCCTGTTGCAGACAGTAATCAAAATATGATAAACAAGTTGATATTTGGTGAAGCATACAGTCCACCATACAGTCTCAGATACAGGGAGTGTGGAACCAGAAAGTATGAGAAAAGAACTTTCTTGAAGTGGGAACCAAGAATCATTAAAAACACTAAGAAACAGGAGTGAAAATAAAACCACAAACTTAAAGGACTGCACAGTATATAGCAAGGAAGAGATCGAAAAAAATTTGGTATGAAGAAAAATAAAGTGGCGGCAATAAATTAATAATTATTACTGTATTTTTCAGCAAAAAACACTTAACCCATATGGGTCATTCTCAGCTTGCAATAAATCCAAATGAAAGAAGTTATGTAGAAGGGAATGAAAGACTACCAATACTATTTTGTGAAAATTCACGTGGAGAATTTTACTTAATGACAATGGGACAGCAAAAATACTGCTAAGGATGTTGTGCTATAGTGTGATGAAACTAGTTTGCCCAAGATGTTACAGTATAGGTGGAGGTGAGAAGGGCAGTGCCCACACTCAGAGTAATCTGAATTGCTGATGTCACCACACTTCTGGAAAGATAGTGGTTGAATGAATGATGATCGAATTTTCTTTGAGTCGCCCTGCACTGGCAGGACAGAGTTAAAAGAAATAATAATAATAATATCATAAATAGTAATAATTACATAATAAATTAAAATAGAGACAAGAGGTACCCAATACGCAGAAGACAGCCAATGTAATAGCAACAGATAGGAAACATTAAACAAAAAGAGCTATCTTTAACATGCATATCCTACTCCCCGTCATTTCTCAAGACTCTTTTTTCATGATTTCCTCATATTATGTAAGACACTGAGTATACTAATAGCATCTGACACCAGGTTTTGCCTAAGTACTGTAACAAATTTTGCAACTGGTAGGAGAACTTACCATTTTCCTTTCTAAATCTGGCAATAAATTTTTTGGGTGCTATACTTCCAACCTTCTTCTTCTGTGTTGCAATATTGTAGAACAGATCTGCCAGACATGCAAGAAGAGTTTCTTTCGTGCGTTTATTCTTTGCTTTGTATTCCAGAATTTTTTCCCGGAAAGGCTTGCAAAAATATAGTGCTTGGAGTACAGAATTGATGTAACAAGTGTTGCCAAACTGAAAAGTTAGCAAGGTGTTAAACATACAGTGCTCAAAGCAACAAATTGAACAATTGAAAAAATGGTATGGTGATACCGATAAAATGTGGAAAAAGGCACTTGTGTACAGTTCAGGACATTTATTAAAGGAAATGTTTTGCCATGCGTGGCTTCATCCATCCTAAGAAGAAGCCGCTCGTGGCAAAACATTTCCTCAATAAATGTCTTGAACTGTAAGTAAGTGTCATTTCCACAAACTGAAGGTTGGTACCTTGACTCACAAAGCTGTAATAACATAATGGGTGGGACTTACTTGCCATTTAGGACTATTGATAATTTTCTGATCATATATATTCTCTTCAAAAGTGTTATTTTAATTGTTTATAATTTATGTTTTTGTATTGAGAATTTTCATTTTCAACTGTACTAAATTATTCTAATATTATATGTATGCCAAATCATATTTTTTTTTTCAAGTAGCATAAATGCATATTTTAGCTGACAATTGAGGTTTGTCAGAAAAATACTTGAAACTGCACTGAATCATCGAAGTATGAAATAAAATAACATTATACCACATTTATCATTAATTTTGAATATTTAGAGTAGCTATATATATAAACAGCAGTTATATCCTAAAACATATTACCAGATAATAAGTCTGCATAAAACTAATGTATACTTATGTATGCTTGCCATGCTCCATCTCCAAACATAATTCATCTTATGTGCAGCATTGTTTAAAACACTATTTACTTTATAGCCTCTGGCTCACAATATTCCTTCACTGCCATTATGCTAAGTAAATACTATACAATTTGTTCAAAACTCCACATGCATTTTTTTAACATCCATCTTCCACTGAGGCAGGGTGACCAGAAAAAGAAGAAACGTAAAGTTTTTCTTTTTTTTTTCACATTTAGTAATTTATACAGGAGAAGGTGTTACTAGCACCTTGGTCCCGGCATTTTAGTCGCCTCTGACAACACTCATGGCTTATGGAGGAAGGATTCTCCACTCCCCCACGCATTTTTCTCTAGCTATTTTCAGGCAAAACATACTTATAAAATTGTAATTATCAACCTAAGGATCTTTAAATCTTAGGCAAGTAACTTACAGCCTCAGGAGCATATTTATAGACCACAGACATTTCTCAAACACTTCAGTACTTACATTTACAAGGCCAATGTAATGTTCATTTGGAGGGAACTGGTCAGCCCCAATCTCCTTCTCCAGCTGAGAGGCATTAGCGCCCTGCAGAAAATAAAGCAATCCTGGTGTCAGGCAACCACGACAGATGTATGGAAGCACTTTACATCAAGTAAGACACTATATTATTTTAGACCCCTCAATGTGGTGACTATCATTATAAGAATGATTTTTACAAATGTTTGTAGCTCTGCCTAATTACTTGCTTAAAATACTTCATTATGTTAAGAATGTGTTTCCACTTGAAATTCCCACCAGTAAAAAAACATACCACGGGTGGGGTTTGAACCCGCAATCTGATCGCAGGTTCAAACCCCACCTGTTGTATAGTTTGTTTGCAATCGTGTCATTGTGATTTTGAGAGTCATTCCCACTTAGCCTCTACTTTCATCAGTTGCATCGGTTCCATTAAAACAGGAATTAAATTTAAGTATGTATTAACATTTAATACTATTAATTCTTAAAGATCCTAAGGAAGCCACTCATGGTGAAACATTTCCTCTAAATAAATGTCCTGAACTCTACGTGTCTTTTTCCCACAAAAATCAAATTGTTACGACATGAAGAGTGAGGGTAGAGCTGAAGGGTAGCATAGGAGAATTTGGATACACAAAAAAGGCCTAGAAACTAGGCTTCAAAAAGAGTTGACAAGAATACATCTGAATTTATATCTATAGTTAACAAAAATCAAATTATTAAGACGTAAAGATAGCGAGGTTGAGAGCTGGAGAATAAGCATATTTACGTACAGCTACATAATTACAATTATTATAAATAGTAAAAATAACCAAAGATAACCCAAAAAGAAAGGCCAAAGTAACTTATTTCTATTGGGGGTAGTGGAAGCAAATGTGGATACATAAATAGGCCTAGGAACTTAGCCTCAAAAAGTTTACAGGAATACACCTGGATTTATTTATCTAATTGATAAAAATCAAATTATTAGAACATCAAGGTAGTGAGGTTAGAGCTGGAGGAAGTGCAAGAGCATGTGGGAACAGAAGAAGGCCTAGGAACTAGGCCTCAGAAAAGGGCTTACATCAGCAGTTGCCAAAATATAATTATGGAGAGCACTAAACCCGTAGGATTATACAGCACATGTGGGGGGATGGAAGGTATTCAGGCATAATTTTGGGAACTGGAGCACAGATCCAGTTCCCTAGATCAAGAGCCCCTCACCATTAAGGAACCTTCCTTGGGGGTATTTATAGCCACTGTTGACAAAAATAAAATTATTAGGACGTTAAGATAGTGAGGTTAGGACTGACGTGTAGCACAAGAGATGCACAAAAAGGCCTAGGAACTCGGCCTCAAAAAAGTTTGCATGAATACATCTAGATTTACATCTCCAGTTGACAAAAATCCAATAATCATTAGGTTAATTATTAATATAATCAAAGGGAAGCGCTAAACCCGTAGGAATATTCAGCGCCTGTGGGGGATGTGGAAGGTATTCAGGCTTAATTTTGGGAACTGGAGCACAGATCCGGTTCCCTAGATCAAGAGCCCCTCAGAAGCATCAAGTAAGGTTCCTTGAGGTGATCATCAAGATAGTGAGGTAGAGGGAGGCCTCACCTCCCGGCCTCTACACTCCCTCTCACGCCGCCATTAACAACCATCCTCACACACTAACTTCCTCTCACCATTTTACAATATCCCAGGAGATCCAGATTGTACAAGTTAGTACGTCTTGAAGGTGGTGTAGGTGAATGTTATGAGTGAAGACCTGAGTGTGTGGATCAGCTGGAAGGTTTACCTACACAAGCAGCGTCATAACAACACTAACATCCACAACTACATAACAACAACACTTTTTTGGAAGTTATCCATAAAATCCCTTAAAGGGAATCTAAAGTAATAAATTTTGTGTGTTATTTAGTATGTGGAGTTAGAGAAAGTGGTGATTTTTCTTTTATTATTGTTATATGAGTGGAATGGGTTTGCTGTAGTATTAGTTATAATTGCTTCACATCAACAACTAAAAAACAATCATTTTTTTAAATTATCCCTAAAATCTCTTTGAGGGGATCTAAAATAATGAATTTATGTGTTACTTAGGCATGTACATTTACAGAAAATGATGATTTTTCTTTTATTATTGTTGTATGAGGAGTGGGTTTGCTTGTTACAATTTCCTCATATCAACAACTACAAAAATAAATTATCCCCAAAATCTCTCAGTGTGAATCTAAAATAATATTTTTTGTGTTATTTAGGCATAAGGACTTAGAGAAAGTGGTAATATTTCTTTTATTATTGCTAAATAAGTGGAGTGAGTTTGCTGTAGTATTAGTTACAATTTCCACCACTAGATGACTCTGTCTCTCCTCTTGTCTGGCTGGCGGGTGATCCTCTCACGTGGGTTAGTCTCACATATTTCCCTATTTCCGAGCTTATTTTACCCCTGATAGTGGCAGGTTAGTTGCAGGGGAGACATTATATACCAGAGGTCAGGCGGGGACCACCTTGTGTCTTGTTAAATGCAAGAATTATGACGAAATAAGTAGTAACTTGTTCACATGGCTGGTGACACTGGCAGCAGAAGTTTAAGTTTATTTAGATATATATAAGTACAGTTATGTATGTAAATTACCTCGGATAACCTCCCAAAGTAGTTATTTCCATTGTGGTCGTTGGTGACACTTGTGGCTGGAGTGGAATTATACTCTTAATGTTTTATAAGAGCGCTGTATGACCCTTGTGGGTTTAGCGTTTAGTTTTGATTGTAATAATAATGAGGTTAAGATTTTGTTTGATTTATTTTAACTGTTAACTGTCCCGCATAACATGATATAGTCTGTTGTTGGTGAATTATTTTCATTTAGGGTCTGGAAAAATACATTATGGAAATAAGAACCTTTTTTTTTTATTTATTTATTTATTTATTTATTTATTTATTTCCAATTTAAGCACACATACAGAGGTAGAAAAAAATACAGATAAGAGCAGTATGCCAAAGCCACTTATACTATGCATAGCATTATGGGCTGGCTTAAAATTAACTTAAGATTAACTAAGCAATGATGAAATCAGTGATAAAACATTAATGTAAACAGATAACAATAAAGCACAAGTATTACAAAGACAGGTCATATGGTTGCATGCATTGTTGTACATTCAGTCGTATGGAGTATTCTGTTAGGTAGTGTATTTAAAAAATAATAGTTAGATTGGGTTTTAGGTTTAACCTTAATGGAAATAAGTCACTGACTTTATTTTGGGTTATCCCAGGTTCTCTACTTCAGCGCTGTCTGACCCTGGTGGTTTAGCGCTTAGTTTTAATTATAATAGTAATATAGATATGATAATGTAACTGTGTATACCTGAATTAGTGATTATTGACTACGTTTCACCTATATTTGGCCTTTATCGGTTTGTGATAAAATCCCGCGGTGGGCGAACCATAGTAAAGGATTCCATTATGCTGTATTAATATTGGTAGAATTACTGACATTGTTCGGTAAAAGGACACAAGTGCAACTAACGTGATATTTTATTGTGGCAACGAACTTGACAAAGTTCCCCCCTTACATAAGAACATAAGAAAGGAGGAACACTGCAGGAGGCCTGCTGGGCCATACTAGGCAGGTCCTTTACAATTCATCCCACTAACAAAACATTTGCCCAACCCAATTTTCAATGCCACCCAAGAAATAAGCTCTGATGTGAAAGTCCCACTCAAATCCAACCCCTCCCACTCATGTACTTATCCAACCTAGATTTGAAACTACCCAAAGTCCTAGCCTCAATAACCCAACTAGGTAGACTGTTCCACTCATCAACTACCCTATTTCCAAACCAATACTTTCCTATGTCCTTTCTAAATCTAAACTTATCTAATTTAAATCCATTACTGCGGGTTCTCTCTTGGAGAGACATCCTCAAGACCTTATTAATATCCCTTTATTAATACCTATCTTCCACTTATACACTTCGATCAGGTCTCCCCTCATTCTTCGTCTAACAAGTGAATGTAACTTAAGAGTCTTCTATCTTTCTTCATAAGGAAGATTTCTAATGCTATGTATTAATTTAGTCATCCTACGCTGAATGTTTTCTAACGAATTTATGTCCATTTTGTAATACGGAGACCAGAACTGAGCTGCATAATCTAGGTGAGGCCTTACTAATGATGTATAAAGCTGCAGTATGACCTCTGGACTTCTGTTGCTTACACTTCTTGATATAAATCCCAGTAATCTATTTGCCTTATTACGTATGCTTAGGCATTGCTGTCTTGGTTTAAGGTTGCTGCTCACCATAACCCCCAAGTCCTTTTCGCAATCTGTATGGCTAAGTTCTACATCATTTAACTTATAAGTACTAGGGTTATGGGCACTCCCAAGCTTCAGAGCTTTGCATTTATCTACATTGAACTGCATCTGCCACTTTTCTGACCAAGAATAGAGTTTGTTTAAATCCTCCTGAAGTTCCATAACATCTACGTTTGAATCAATTATCCTACCTATCTTTGTGTCATCGGCGAATTTGCTCATATCACTAGTAATTCCCTCATCAAGATCATTGATATATATTATAAACAACAACGGGCCCAAGACTGATCCCTGTGGAACGCCACTTGTTACAGATCCCCACTCGGATTTAACCCATTTATGGACACACTCTGCTTCCTGTCAGTGAGCCATGACTCGATCCACGAGAGCACTTTTCCCCCAATGCCATGAGCTGCCACTTTCTTTAACAGTCTATGGTGTGGAACTCTATCAAAAGCCTTACTAAAATCTAAGTAAATAATATCAAATTCTTTATTGTGGTCAACAGCCTCAAAAGCTTTACTGAAGAAAGTTAATAAATTAGTTAGACAAGACCGGCCTCTTGTGAATCCATGCTGAGTATCATTAATCAAGCTATGCTTATCGAGATGGCTTCTTATAATCTCAGCTATAACTGACTCTAGTAATTTGCCTACAATTGAGGTCAGGCTTATTGGGCGGTAATTTGACGGTAACGACTTGTCCCCTGTTTTAAAAATAGGAGTTACATTAGCCATCTTCCACATATCAGACACTACACCTGTTTGAAGAGATAAATTAAAAATATTAGTTAATGGTTCACAGAGTTCCATTTTGCATTCCTTAAGAACCCTTGAAAAAACCTCATCAGGACCCGGCGACTTATTTTGCTTCAGTCTGTCTATCTGCTTCACAACCATCTCGCTAGTGACTGTAATGTTACATAATTTATCTTCTTCTAGCCCACTGTAAAAATTAATTACTGGAATATTGTTAGTGTCTTCCTGTGTAAAAACTGAGAGAAAATAATTATTTAAAATCAAGCACATTTCATTCTCTTTGTCAGTAAGGTGCCCATAGTTATTTCCCCTTGAGGGAGGTTCCTTAATGCTGGTGAGGGGCTCTTGATCTAGGGAATTGGATCTGTGCTCCAGTTCCCTGAATTACTGCCTGAATACCTCCCATCCCCCCACAGGCACTGTATAAGCTTATGGGTTTAGTGCTCCCCCATGATTATAATATAATTATCTTTTCATTAATGGACCTTAGTTGGTTATCCATAAAATTACTTGATCACTGACACTTTTGACTGTATTTTGAATGTCCATTTGGATTATAGGAACCACGACTTATAATGTTTGCTGGTCAGCAACGGATTTAAATAGTTCTGTTTCCTAGCAGTGCTGTACGGCATTTATGGGTTTAGGCCTTAGATTTCGTTGTAATAATTCTGCTTTGTAAGTTTGGTTTCAAATTTGATCAAATCTGTAGATGAAATTAGCAAGGAGTGGGTTATCTCTGATGCCAAGAATTCCAGAAAGGAGCTAAGAGACATATGCCAGTGGACAGCCGTGTTGTGGTTGTGTTGAGTCCTGGTTGACTAGGCTGGCTGCTGAGGGAAGAAACTGGATCAAAGAGTTTTTACCTAATACAGTGGACCCCCGGTTAAAGATATTTTTTCACTCCAGAAGTATGTTCAGTTGCCAATACTGACCGAATTTGTTCCCATAAGGAATATTGTGAATTAGATTAGTCCATTTCAGACCCCCAAACATACACATACAAACGCACTTACATAAATACACTTACATAATTGGTCGCATTCGGAGGTGATCGTTATGCGGGGGTCCACTGTAATTTCATCATTAAATTTTTTTCTGGTACTGGTCCTCGTGTTTTCTTCAGACTATGGATTGGGTGATTGTCTGGGTGGTGTGTAGGGTGCACCTTGATCCATTCAGTTTGGTGTAGTAGTTTATCTTAGAATTTGTTGAATTTTATAAAATTGACCAAATTACTGAATTTTGGATGCTTTGCAGGGTAGTTCTAATATGCCATTTGTTAAGTCTCCTAACAAATTTTGTTACCATTTGTGATGCTATGCATCGGAGGCTGCCACAAGTCCTATATTATTGATTACTCGCAAAAAGATTTACAGTACTTTCATAATTTTCTTCCACAGATAAGCCAAAATGACAAATTCCAAGGGTTTGTCGGCGCGGCACGCGC